TTGACATTACTGTTTTAAGAAAAATATGTTCTACTGCAGCGCAATACAGCAGTTTTTAGTATATTAACAGAGATACCGTCTGGTTTTGACTAGTTAATGCTAACTTTGGCTGACTTAGAAAGACCCATCTTGAAGAAAGGGCAAAAATATTTGTTCTATCTTCATTTTTTTCAGCTTGCTAACAACTGATACTAACACAAGGTCTGATCAATAAATAACCAATACTGTAATAACAGGGACTGTGAGTTGCTTCAGGACAACAACACTTAAAAAAAAAAAAAAAAAAGGAAATGCAATATATAGGAATTAGAAATGCTGAGGATTTCATTAAAATGGATGTCACCGTAATTTTTTTTTAAGGCTTTCCAATGAAGTCCTGTATCCATTCTGTATATTTTTAGCATTTGTTTTGCAGAGTCACCAGATTTTGTACTTAAGAGCCATAATTGAATAAGTACAAGAAATAATCAGGTGATTTAAATTTAACTAAGGCATTCGCATGTAGTTTAGCATAGTAAAAATAGTATGATTTGTGGGAGGCAATTAACAATCATTTGCTCTGTGGATACAAGTAATTTGTTTAAAGAGCACTGACCTATGAGACAGCTAGTTTGTGTTGGCTGTGATGGAAGGGAGCTATTGACTCTAAACAGTGTAACAGCGCCATTGACAGAATCACATTTGAATGCACACAAAAGATCTCGAAAATACTTGAGGAACACGAGATCTTTCAGAGGGGGAAGTGGAGTGGGGGTTAACCGAGGGAAGCCAGCCAAAGCGGAGGTCTCCATACCGAGGCAAAACCGAGCCAAACCGAAGAATCTGGACAATGTAGTGACTAGAGAGGGCTTCCCCCCCTTGGTGCTGTGCCAGCCTGAGAGCCCGGCCGTCCTTCTTCAACATAAATACTCTATCAGAAGGAACACAAACTGTGAGCGATTACTGGTTGAGTAATGGTTTCATAAGCTTAAAATTGAATGCAAGTCTTTGTGCAAAATAATCATTTTTATGTTCACATCTAGCAAATGCATTGCAGACCTGGGAATGGTTCCATGTATTCAGCATTCACGCTTTCTCTGCGTCTGCTGTGGACATGTTTGCAATCGAATGCCAATACCTTGTACAGCAACCGGGTACAGTTCTACTGCAAACGATCTGCTGTCTCCTGACAATTTGGGTCATTTCTTCAACTGAGCGAAAGGAGTTATCAAAATAAGGGTGTGCAGCAGAAACCGTGGGGTGAAAGCAGTCAGCATTAAAAGTTCCAAGTGCCAAACAGCATTCCTTGGAACTATTTTAATGCACGTTGGGTCGGACTATGCTTCCTTTATTTGCTAGGAAATCATTATGCAAAATAGATAATTAGAGAAAACGGTAACGTAGTGGCACAAATACATTGTAAATACAGTACTGCCGCTCATCTTAAAGTAAACCAACAGAATCTACAGAGCTTAAAATATGTGTATAAAGGTGCAATTTTATCTGTAACATAATTTCATTTAGAAGCATACAAATCACAATTTGCCGTAATCAAATAACACTGCAGTGCTTATATTCTAATTAAAAAATAATCTCTGATATTTAATTGAGAAACCTGGAAGACTTTACCAGCAAAATTGTGGCTATGACCTGCACAAACCGCTCGGTTTACCCAGACAGACGGAGAATTTTTGAGGTAGCACTCTTAAAATCGTTATTAAACAAGCAAACGATGCACTGTTCGATATATATTAAAACAAGTATTGTACCCAGTTATTAATTTGCACTATTCACTTTTAAATGCAGCAAATACCTCATTAATTTAATTTTAGGTGCCCACCAGTTTATATTGCATTTTACAGTCTAGAAGGCAATTTACTATTAACTGGCAATTACATACAGAATGATTGTTAATTCTGCTCCTAAGTGCTAGCTGCTTGAAAATTGTTATCTCTCTCTAATTTTTGACCTTCTTACAACAGGGGTGAGGTATACTGGGAATACAAAGGACTAGTAGAGAAGAGCTGGACATGTCATTTGTGACTCATTCTTTTAATTCACCGTGCTAATCAACTGAACTGCCACAATCTCCCAAGGTAATTGTATCTTTATAATAGTTGAAAGCAGCGGGCAAAAAGGCATGGATAGATGGGGAAAGGCCTTGCCTTTGCCTGCTGAGAGACAGCGCGCTCTTGCTTCTGCGTGAGACTAATGGGGGCTTTTTAGAAAAATCTGGAACTTTCATATCTCCGTACCCTGATCATTTAATGTCTCAACTTCTCTGCTCACAAAGGCTTTGTACACCACACTACACTCTTGTTTCATTATTCTGCAGCCTTGTTGCCCTATGGTCTACCTCATGCTGGGAAGGTTAAATGTTAGAGTGCCAAGCCAGACTGCAAGCATGGTGGGACACTGATGGGAAACAGATGCCCTGGGGATTCAGCCCCTCCTTCCTCAAGGGCTACATCATTTTCATTTTCTGAAATACAGTGAGGCTTGGCTTCGCTCTCAATGGCAGCTGTAATTTCCAAAGACTATCTCAGTCACCCTATCACTTCAGGATAAGGCAAAGCAGGCAGAAGTTTCTCGGACAGGCAGACGCTGGCTTTATCTTTTCTTTTTCTTATTGCTGGGATGTAGACTTTTGCTTCCCTCAAAAGGTGTTTCAAATACATATTCCTGTTACAGTGCTGTTAGTAACGTAACTCTATCACAATTTAATTCCAGCGGCAGAAGATCCTGACATTCTCACGATTCTTTTGAACGTCTTCACTTAGTGATAAAGACAAAAGAGGACCCCAGGAAAGAAGAAACAAATGGCTTTTCCTTACAGTTTCCTATATACTTGCATTTACACGTTAGAAAGAAGTTCACAACAGCAAAATTTGCCAAATTTGCAGAAAGCACACCTAAGAAATCAGTTGAAGACATCGCTATCAAGCAATTCAAAATTCCAGAACTGTGCCCCGAGAGCCAGACTGTCATCTGGTTCAAATCTGCAGCGCTTCCCTGTGCGCGATGGAACTGCACCAGCTCGCCACAGCTAAAATAGCTGGAACTCAGTCTAAGGCTTTTAATTCATTCATTTTTTATTTTGCTGAACACTTATCTTAGCCAAATAGCTGTACTTGTCATGATACTCTGCTGAAGCTCTGCAGGACCGTGTTCACAACAGCACTTTTAAGCCTGTAACCACGACTGGGCGCAGCCCCACCTGCGGTTACCACCTTCGCAGCAGACTATGAAACAACGGCCGCTTCCCAGGTACGTCGTTAGCACCAAAAGCACCGCGGTGACTACTGTCCCGTTCAGGAACTCCGGTAGAAACCCGATCGGAAAGATCAAGAAAACGTAAATATTCTCGCCCTTGTCAGCCGGGAGCGAGGCACCCAGGTGTGAATGCGAGCACTGGTTTTGCTCAGGTTCGATTTCTTTGGGGATAGATGGAGGACAGGAATCGCAGATGCTATCTTCACGTAAAAGTTCATTTCAGCGATAGACCTCAGGCAGCCAGAAAAACATACCCAACAACGAGTTAACTGTTTAAAAAGTCCTAGCTTAAAACTACCCAGGAACACACTTTTCCCATTAGATCTAAATTAATAGATAGAAACAGTTGCAGTCTAGTGGGAAAATATTCATCAAAATGCACATCATCTGCACATCATCTGCAATCTGCATTATCTACCCAATAAGCAGCAAGAACTCTCCCCGAATCCCTGCAGTCTGTCGAGTAAACAGTTAAAGGCTCTTTGTTTTCGAAAGAGAGATTGATTCATCAGATCAAATTTATTACCTAGAATCCTCATCCAAAAGTACAGTAAATTAAATTGCTATTTCTCCCTTTTCCCTCCCAGCACCTCAGTTAAATTCATTGTTAAATGCCAGAAAAACTGTAATACACATTTCAGATAAAAAGCCAGCAATACTTCATCCCAAAGTAAGAATTTTCATATTAGAACCACTGGAAACCACAAAGTTCCGACTTCTTCTTGTGCTCTCGTAAATTAAAATCAAATGTATTTGAAAGAATTGGCACAAATAAATCATTCCCAGGCTTGTGAGTTTGTATCCCAAGTTTCAGGTCTGAAAGAATTTTGAGAGCCAGATTGCGAAAAAGGTTGGATAAAGTTATTTGGATCCAAGAACAGCTACTTGAACCGGTGCCTAAAACTTCAGCTGAACCTTTAGGGAAGTTCAAGAAGTTTGGATAGGCAGTGTGAAAAATAT